GATAATATTATATAGTTCAGAACAAGCACACAGGGACAAGGGGAAAAAATGAGAACCAAGACCTGTCATGTAAAGGTACAAGATCTCAGTAATGAATGTAACTGTACTGTATACCTAGAATGTACCAATAAACTCAATTAAAAAAAAAAGAACAAGCACATGCTACTTCTTATTTTATAGTGAGTATATCCTACTCTCATACAGGAGCACATTCTTATTTTGTAGGATCTTAATATCTTGTGTGATATACTCTTTAGATGATGTGCTATTTTATATAATATGATATTGTTTTAGTTAATTTTTCTCATTGCTGAGACAAAACACCCAACACTCAAAGAAGGAAAGGGTGTTTTGGTTCACAGTTTGTAGAGGTTCCAGTTCATAGTTGACTGGCTCCAACGCAGGGTGGCACGGCAGAGGGGAAACAGTTTGTTGTGGGCAGAAGGCAGCAAAGCAAGTGAGGGGCCTTAGCAGCCTTTTTCTGCCTCTTTTATACTCTGTAGGCCACTGGGAATAAGGTGATACCGAACCAGTCTGGGTACTGGTTTAGTAATCACACACCCTTGATCCCAGCACCACACACTCTGGATCCAGTTACCTCTGAAAAAGCCCCCCTATGACTGTGTGAGGCTTTTGGGGGGACAGCTAAACACAGCCGTAACAGATATAATGTTTTATAGTATATTATTTTGGAATACTACAGTCACATGCCACATAAAATGATGTTTTGGTCAACAATAGGCTGCATATATGTTTGTGGTCCTGTAAGATTTTTGTTACCTGCTGACATCACAGTTGTCTTAGCTTTCTTATTCTGTGGGTTTTTTTTTTTTTTTCATGTCTTGGTAAAACTGTGGAGTACAGATATTTTAAATTTATCTATGTTCTGTTTGCTAAGGCAATCTTGATGTGATATCTAGAAAACCATTGCCTAATCTAAGTCATGAAGATTTATTCCCATCTTCCTACATTTTTTCTAAGAGGTATGAAGTTTTAGTTCTTAGATTTAGATTTTTTTTTGGTACTGGAAATCTAACTCAGGTCCTTGCACTTTTATTAGAACTTTATAATTCATTTGCTAGTTTCTTCAGAAAAAAAGTTGAACTGTTGACAGAAATTATACTGAACCTGTAGAAAATTCTGGAATATGGCCATATTTATAATAAGTCAGTTCATGAACAGGGGGTGCACTTCCATTTTATTTAGTTCATCTTTAATTTTTCTTAATGAAGTTTTATAGTTTTCAGTGTGCAAATCGTGTACTTCATTTGCTACATTTGTTCCTAAGTGTTTTATGTTTTTTAATGTTATGGTAAATGGAATTATTTCTTGGTTTCAATTTTGGATTTTTTTGTTGCTGTAGAAATACAATTAATTTTTTATATTGATCCTGTATTCTTTGAACTGTTTGTGCTATGATTAGTTTATTGTAATAGTTCTTTTAAAAGTGGATTCCTTAAGTTTTTCTATAGGAACAGTCATATGAACTGCCAATAGAAGTAGTTGTTTTACTTCTTCCTTTCCAAGCTGACTCTTCTTTTCCTCTCTTCTGTTCTCGTATTCTCCCTTCCTTTACTCTCCTGTTTCTCTGTCTCAGTCCCTTTCTTTCTTTCTCTTTCTCTCCCTTTCTTTTGTTTTCTTTCTTTCTTTCCTTCCTTCTTCCTGCCTTCCTTTTCTCTTTTTTTCCTTACAACTAAGAGTACTTTGTTGAATAATAGTGGTAAGAGAGGACACATCTGTTTTTCTCCTGAGCTTAAATATAAAGGCATCACCATTCACAATGCAATGGAAAACTAATACAGTGAACTTGTTTTTACCCTTAAGAATAAATGGATCCCAGGAAAATCTTGTTCAGGAGGATTTGGAGGAATTTGGGTTCCAGTTACTTTTGACTGTTCCTGGTGTATGTGTCACATACACCACGAACGAGCTTCTTAAGTGAAGCCATCTGTGTTGGTCATCGTTAGAACAGTAGCACCTAAGACAGAGTCTAGCATAGAGTAGGGATTTGGGGTAAGATTGTTGAGTGACTGAATTGACTCTCAGTGCTCTTAAGTGATGCAGATTGGGAGCTGAATGCTGCTTAGCAAAGCCTACTGAGGAGAGGGCAGCACGGAGCAGAGCCTGGGTCCTCTTTGGGAGGTGGAAAGATCTCTGGTATTAGTGGGGAGAAGGTGGTATTTGTGGCTCCATTTCTTCCTCTTACCAGGCCTCGATTGGCCTTTGCACCTTGAGCAACCCATCCTGTCTAAGAAGCTGAAATGCTTGAGGAGCTGGTGGTGGTGGTGTTTCCCGGTACTGTTTCCTGCTGTGGGATCTTCCAGCACAGAGACAAACTCTAAAATTATACTTTTGATTGCTTTTCAGTACAGAAGATGGGAAGGAGCAGTGACGAGGATGTTCTGAGCTTAGGCATAGCTTGCTGAGTGGTGACTCTTATTGTTGGGTGAGTAGACTCAGGCTTGCAAGACCTGAGTTCCCTACATCTCTGGGTTTCAAAGTTATGCCAAAGGTGCTTGCTACTTTTATTGCAGTTTCTAGTCCATTAAGTGGTTTTGTAATAGATTATTTTATTATAGTTTATTCTGTATCATATAGTTTTAGGTTTTCTGCTAGAGATACATTTGTGTTTTGGTACACATGAGATCACATTGCACAGGCTGACTGGGACCCAGTGACTGAAGCTGAGTTGTGATTCTTTGCTCTCTTAATTATTAATGGCAGAAATGAACACTTGTTTAATGAAAATGAATGCTTGTTTACTTCTTTGTAGTTGAGAATTTTTGAGTTCTTATGCTATATTTATTTGTAGTGCTAGAACATAATCTTCAGCATGCTAGTTGCACAACACTTTTCTTGATTAGTCAATATATAAAACTGATGACAAGTAATTTCTAAGGCTCAGTCTGGTGCAAATAGTTGAGAATTTTGTGCTTGTAAGCCCCTTTGCCTTGATCCTAATCTCAGCTGGAGCCAAACATTCAATTTTCAACTCAAGTTAACTGCTTTCTCCTCTCTGCCATCTGTGGGCCATATACCCATCTTCCTGTTCTTACTTAATGCAGTGTTGGGATTATTTGTTTACATGTCTTTCTCCTTTATTGGATTATGAGGTCCTTTTGGAGGGATCCATCCCTGTATCTGAGCTTGGTACAATTCCTCACTTAGAACAAAGTTGAAAGAGGGCAGGATCACTGTGCCCATCACCTAAGACAACACCTGGCTGTGGATAGGCAGTCAGTGTTTATTACCTGAATATGCCATTGTTGGTTACTGGTACTGAGTGAAGATCTGCTGAGTTGATAGGCACAAAAAATTTCATTGTCCCATCATCCAAATGCAGTGTCTGCATGCGCATGTGTGTCCAACCTGTGGCTGGTGGGACAGCTTGTGTTATAATAAACACATGCACATATCAGTGGGAGTTTTGTTAGTTACATATGCTGAATATATTATATATTATATGTGACTCAAGACAACTCCTCTTCACTCAGCAGAGCCCAGGCCAACAAGGTGTCTGACTCACAAACCTCAAGTTGGATAGGACTGGCAATGCCCCACCCCACGCTGTCAAGTCAAGAGCACCGAAAGCCTGATAGGGTAGTAAATCAGAGTTGAAAAGTAAAAAAATCCAACCAAATTAATATTTGATGTGAGAACAGGGCATAAATAATGGAAGGTATTTTTTATATAAAATTGATTCTATTTAATTGTGCCATTTTTTCTCTATCCTGATTTTTGCAAGTGGACAGCGCCTGTATCCTTTATGCAGTTAAGGAATGCTACTTGAGAGGCCAGGGATTTATCTCAGTGGTTCCCCTGCCTGCCTCACAAGTGGAAGGACTTGAATTGGATCCCTGGGGAGTGGCGGGGGGGAGGAGAAATGCTACTCGAAAACGTCTTATAATTTTTTATTGTAGAGCTATTAATTTCTAAGCTATTTACTAAGAGGAAGGAGGTAAAATATGCTGATGCATCTTTTAAAATTTTCTGTTTAGGCAGATCCTCTATTTGGGTCACTTTAAGTTTATTAAAGTGTAGTTAATCATTTTGGGGAACTCAGGAATCCAGGGTCCTTATTACCAACTTTCATCTTCTAATAATTGTTGAGCATTTATATTTTCATGTGCTTACAAAAGAAGTCTGATCACTGAAAAAGTAATTAAGAATACAATCATGATTATCTCAAGAATGAATGAGCCATATTTGTTTGAACCATCATGGAAAACAATGCAATAAATCAAACCCAAATCAACCTGCTCTGCCCCAAGCCTGCCGCACTGCCTGCACCCTTGTCAGAGACAGGAATAAAAGGTGGAGATGGGGCAGGAAAGCACACAGAGAGAGGTACATGGGGTGGTGGGGAGGCACTGGTGGGAAGGGGGCCATGTGTGGTATCAACTTGCTCTCTGGAGCTGAAGTTTTTGCATCCCATTATATATGCTCGTAACTTTTGGCCTGATTGGAGAGGTAGCATTCAGACAGGTTGTTTTTTCCAAATTGTTTCTTTCCATTACTTTTGGTTCACTGTATGTATTTTCCCCTTCTGATATCTAATCCTTGATAGACTACATTCTTTTGCTTTTCCTCTCCTTTTTCTCCGTCCTCCTCAGGGTCCTGAGTCCCCCATTCCAAATGTTTAAAGTGGGTGTTGACTTGGGTCCATGGCACCCGCCTCCCCTCAATCTGCCTTGCAGATTCCCCGTGGGGGAATCTTGCAGAGTTTGTGTGGAATCAGATGAAAAGCAGAATCAGGTGACAGTGCAGAGGGAAATGGAGAGGACCACTAAAACTGGGCAGTTTGCGCAATGTGAGAAATAAATGCCTTCTGCAGGGTCAGTGGTACTGAAATCTGCGACTTGTGAGGTGGGAATGTAGGGGGAGAAACTGCCTGAGTCACTTGAGAAGCAGATAACTTTCAGGGACCAGAGGACTGGACCTTCTGAGACACAATGACCACTCCTATCCAGCAGCCTCCCAGCTCCTTATAGGAAGAAAAGACGCAAGACCATGGGTGAGCCAGGATGTTGTTTATATACAAGAATATAATGTTTATCTGAAATATTTACAGTGTTGGTTAAAGCAGTATTTTTACAACTTTTCAGGTAAACTACTATGTATATTACAGGTAAGCTACAATGGCTTCATTTGCAAAATATTGAGTAAAAAGATGCTTTAAACAAGCCTTAAAGTACTCAAGTCAATTACAAAGTTTATGTACTTGGCCCTTTATTTGAAGACATCATGCTATGAGTGGCTAATGTGCTTTTATAAATGGAAGTATTGCAGCTCAAATGTGACACATGCAACAGTGTGAGTTCCTAGTGAGGGTGTAAAATGGTAAGTGAATGCTTAGTGAGTCTCAGGCTGGAGCTGAGGAAGATGTTGGGATAACAGCCCGCTTTATCCCAACAAAGTGTGCAATCCATGGATTCGAGCCCCAGGGAAAAAGGAAGCATCTTGCATGTTACAGCCACCTCAGTGCGTTGTAAAAATCAGCTGATTCTAACCCAACAGTGAGTTAAAAGAGAAAAATCAGACCCAAGTCAGTCACATCTATTCAAAATTAGCCTTCACATGAGCCATTTTAAATACTCATAAAAACATTCATGACTTTATTAGTTTGGGTTTTCCCTTTATATATACGGAGACAGAAATCCATTCCTGAGGCCTCTGAGGGCCTTGCAACTCAGGAAATACTGGGATGGAAAAGTGCAAAAGGCTGGCAAAGCGGCTCTGGGCTGCAGAAGGAGCAGCCCTGGCTGTGCTCGAGAAGCCGGAAATGATGTTCTGGGCAGAAGTAATCCACCTGAAATGGCCAAGGGAGCTCTGGAGTCTCTGGGACCCCAGAACTAGCACTGCAGCTTGCGGATGCTGCGGGAGATGCGCTTGAACTCTCTCTGCCCCTTCTGCCACCGCTTCACTGAAGTGATCACCAGCTCCCCACCCTGCTTCTGTCCCATGACCAGATAGGGCGCATTGATGTCATTCATCTCCTCGCAGGTGCACTGCAAGCTGTCTTTGAGCCACAGCACCGATTTCTTCAGGTCCCTTTCAGACACACCGTTCAGCTTGTAAATGGTCTTGCTCTTGGTCTCCAGGATGATTTTGGTGTCCCTGTTGATGTAGGTTATCTCCTTCACTTTTATTTTCAGCGCTATGAAGAAAAGAGAGATAGAAAGAACGACAAATTACCACGAGGGAATACAGTATGGACCTGGAGCTTTCCTCTGCCGCTCTGCTGCATATTCTTGTGCCTCAGCCTGAGGGAGGGAAAACCAGCTTCCTAGAGCGAATGAGACTTGGGACAGGGCTGGGAGCTGGGGGCAGCAGGAGGGCCCGTTTCTAAAGCCTCCAAGAATCTGTCAGGCGCTGTTTCAGATCAGCCATCCTTTTCAAACTTCCTCTTTGCAGGGCTTGATTAACTTTTCTTCTCCTTTCCTGGCCCTTGGGTTTGTGAGTGGGTCGCACGTGGTTCCTGCTCTCCCAGACAAATGACTTCCCCTACTGGAAACTTCAGCATGAGAAGCTATGCCTGACTCTTGGGTGAAACACAATCCTCCTGTAGCTGTACATTTTAAACTCAGTTTATGATATTGGTGAGGTTTTTGGACAAACCTGTAAGGAAATTGTATCACACAATCGTTTTCTAAAGAACAGATTTCAGGGAAGGAGAACTGATCGCAGCTGCATTTGATTTGGTAAAGTAACTAGGAGAAAAAAAAAAATATGCGAGATCCTTTTAAGAGCACAACATGTTTAGCCATAAAAGTGTTTTTCTGAAGACCTCAGCCTCACATGGTCTCATTTGCCTGTCCAAAGACAAGGCTTTAACAGATCATATATGTACGGTTTCCAAAATGTATATGTGGACTCATTAGGATGTTAAGGGTAAAAGTGGCTTACTGTAAAGGACACTCTGTATGATAATGAACTAACACAAAAGTCTTGCTTTGGGTAAGAAAACCTCACAAACATACATGTTGGAATAAATTTCAAGACTTTAGGAAGACAAGAAATAGAATTTTAAGGCTGGAAAGTTATCCTACTAAAATCTTTTGTCAGTTCATAATCTGAAGTCCCCAGAGAAGTTCAGTGACTTTCATCAGGAACCCAGTTAGATTTGTGTCATAGCCTAGTTTAGTACCCAGCCTCCAGGCCCAAGTCCCCCTCAACGTCAAATTTCTCCAATGTCCTCAGACCCTGGGCGCTGCTGCTATTCTGTATTGGTGGTGTGCAAGGGTGACTTCCTGACTCTGATGGGGTTTAATGCATTGTTTAAACCAGTAATTGAAGAGTTTTGTGCACGTGCTTGAAACTCTTTGAGGTCTCCTTTTTCTTTTTTGAAACATCAGACAGGATATTGGACTAAGTGCAGCTTTGTGGCCAACTGCAAACTAACAGAAGTGTAACAGGCTTTGTTTGACCTGATCTTCATTAGAACCAGGGTACCGAGCTCTCAGGTTTATGAGACTTCAGTTATAGAATAAGCCACATGTTTCTGTGACCTCTGCACAGGGAAAGACCCCAGCATGGTGGGAGAACTGTACCTGTTACACATTGCCAGATTCTGTACTGATTGTATATTACCAGATTTTATTCCATCAAAGGGAACATTCTTGAGCTGGAACATGAGATGAATAAACATTTTTTACCAAGAGATTTATCACTCATTTTTCTCTAGCTCTAAAATAACCAACTTGGCAAGTGGATAATGGAATAATGGGAAAACATTAAAGATTTCCTTCTTGGATTTTCTGTTTAGACCAAAAACAGGGAACCAAAGTGCCAGAGTAACTCAGCTGCCCTAGGAGATGTACCTGGGTATCCAGGATATGGTTGGAGGCAGAGGTGATCATACTACCTGATATACAGTATGCAGGGGAAGGCTGTTACAGGCCATCCTCTATTTCTAAGTGCCCACTTTATTGAAGTAAGGTGGTGTACATTCCCCTTGTATTCCAGGTGCAATGGAGAAGAGCTGGTGCCTTCCTGGCTGACTCATGTTAAATAAGTCACAGAGCTATCAGGCATGGGGGTGCACGCTTGTTATCCTGACACTCTGGGAGGCTGAGACAAGATCCCAACTTTAAGGCCAGCCTGGGGAATTTTACAAGACCGTGCCTCAAAATCAGAGTAAAACGGGCAGAGTGTGTAGCTTCTGTGCAGAAGCCTTGGGTTCAACCTCCAGTGCTACAAAAAGGCAAACAAACCCCCCAAACCAAACAGAAAACCAGCCTAGATCTGTGCTTGTTCCTGCTACCCACCATGCAGAATATCCATACACAGAGTACAGTGTATGATGCACTTACTGAAATTCACTCCCTCTTTATCAGACAAAAGGAGAGCAGGAAAACAAGGCAAAGCTTGTGTTATCCACATGTATGATACCGTGAGTGTGATGACTTCTACACTCACCCCTCTTTTTTCCTGCTCAGACCTCGATGGGGCCTCTTTCAAAGGGGGGCCTTCTGTAAAGAAAGCTGCAAGTAATATGTATGCGTATGTCCCCGAAATTCAGCTGTTCTGGAGTTTGTAGCAACCAACATTTTAAGGAACTCAGGAGAAAGACATTGTAAGTTTTACTAAAATGGCATGTTTCTACCTTGTCCTTAACCATGTCTGAAGCTTGGAAGCTAAGAACTGTTTTGGTAAGGCTCTGGTGATTTGGGATTATCTGCTAACATGCTTGGGCCACCAGGCTCTGAGACTTGTATGTTTGAATAAAGATGTAACAAACCCTATCAGCCATATCTTCCAAACCCTATCAGCCATATCTTCCCAAGGGAAGGGTCAGCGAGCAGTTTCCACTACCTTCTTTCTTCCCCCTTGTCACCAGTTTGAAACCTTTCCTCTTGCTGGGGCTCTGATTTTTCTGTAAGCAGCCTTGGTTAAAGCCAGGGCACTTGTGGGAAGAGACCCGGACCTAAGAGCTGTGACTGCATTATTCTGAGTTCCGGACAGACTTGGCTGGGATTTCAGGGATAGCAAGATAAGGAGAGTGGAAGTTGTCAACAAGGGAGCAGGAATGATTTCCCTCAGGCTCCAGATTTGTTTAATTTGTAGAAGTGTTAATATGGACCAGTTAGGGTCCATCACTGAGGGGTGAATCAGGGACCATATCTGTATACCAGTGACTTCAGACTTCTGCCTGAGCAAAATACCTGGACAAGGCAGCATATTTGGGAGTCTGGGTGAAGTTCTTAGCTACTCCTAACCTTCACCTTAGCACTGATCCTTGTGTAGCTGGATTTCTTCCCTCACCTGGGGCTGAAATCTGAGGGCTGAAGATGAGGTGCAGGTGGGGTTTCAGTCTCCTGCTCTCTCCTCTCACAACCCTTAGAAGGGTGTTCCACTTTATGGAATTTGGGTAACACAGGTCACACATTTTTTATTATTCCCAGGTACTATGTCATCATGGTGAATTTTGGTAAAGTAAAAATTTAAGCTCTTTTCTTTCTTTTCCTATTTGCAAACATAGTGCATCTGCATCTAGACTTACTCCTAAGAACTTACACATACAAACCTTTAAAAAGGATTTTAGGATGCTGATTTGAGATTGTGCCAAAGCCACATAAGGTGTCTCCTCAAGAAACCATTCTTTTTATATTTGAGGAGCCCCTCTCCCACAAATTATTAGCTAGAGCTTTGGATGTATTCACTGGTCATAAAACACAGGGGAGCAAATCATTATAGGTTATAAAGAAAGTCATATTTTTATTTTCTGCCAGGGTAAGTTTCTATCTGTGGCCAGTTGTGCCTGCAATCCATTTTGCTGGGGTGAATCCTTGCAGTCCTGTCCTGGTACACATGCTAAGTGACTGAAAGAGTTTTGCTCAGGATAAGGCATGTTGGCATGAAAAAGCCACAGTGACATTTCAAATGCAGAACATTGACGATTTGATTAATTCTCATTGTTTACTGTTTACAGGAACTGTGGATTTCACCTAAAAAGATACAACTGAGTACATAATAGTGACATAAGGGAAACCAGGATGTAGCCAATTAGATGACTTCAGGGAACTGTGAGCTGTGATTTTTATCTCTCTCGGCCTTTACCTAGCAACATCTTAAGGATTTGTATCTTTAAATTTTACTGGTAAACAGAAGTCTTAAATGTGAAATCTGTTGTTGGTCTATTACTTACCAAAATCATTTTTACAAAGGGTTTCCATTATGTCGTTGTCATCATCGTTTTTATTTTTGCAGGCTTCACATACCTTTGGAGCTAGAGATGTGAAAGACAGCCATTAGTAAGTTAGCTTACAAAGGAACAGCAGGTGGCATTTGTAAACAACTCAAAGGGGCTCACCCAGGCAAGAGTAGCAATTGTCCTGTGACCCCTGCTTCTGCCTTCTCTGTAAAAGGAGGATCACTCCCTGCTCAGAAAGGCCTTTTTGCTTTATGGTTGTGCAAAATGAAAATTTCCATATGATGTGTTCAATAAATGATGATTCCCAAACCAAGAGGAAGCTGTGGACAGAGCACGCAGGAGCATGTTGCTAGTTTACTGGGACAGGTTACAGCTTTTCAGTCATCCTCCCCATCCCTGGGACCAATTCCGTCTGCAAAGATTACTCCCAAAATCTTAAGAAGAAAGCACCAATAGATCCCAAGGCCTTTGAGGGATTTGGAGAAACTCATAACCATAAAATACAGCCAGCAGGTGGTCCTTGTTAGCTGCAGGACCCCAGGGTGGCTGCTCTCCTTAGCAGAGCTGCATGCCACAGGGGAGTCACGCCATGACATCTTCAGACCTGTACTGGAAGAGGTGGCTGGTGTTGGGTTAGGACAACACACAGGCTGCTTCCTTCTTGGAAACACACCTCGCTGAGCTGATTGGGCCTGCTGCTCTGACTGGCTGGCTTGTCCTGCACTTTCTGCCAAGTTGGTGCTTGTGTTAGGCAGAATTTATCGTACTACTTACCAGCATTTTGGTACAGGTTCTTCTTGCCCCCTTTGCCAATTGCAGATGTGCAAAACAGACGAAAACAAAACCAAACCTCAGACAAAACCCTGTCCCCAAAGCTCCAAGATGTCTAGGGGAGCTGACCAAACCCAGGGGTTTTGTGTGCTTCCCAAAAAGCTCACCAGAGCTACTTCTAAGAGTCTGATTTCTTATGGTGTGGGGAGCAAATTCATTTATAAATGTGCTAATGCTATCTTTAAATTTGGATGAAATTAGATTTTCCTTATATGAAATTGAATTTTCACAGAAAAATTTTTGTGTGACTATCAGAATTATCAAGCTAGTCAAATCACAAAAGACCAAAGTATGAAGAATATAAACTTTTGAAGAAAGAAAATGACTTTTTGGAAAACACGTATAAAGTGTCTAAGTGTATATAAAGTTGGTGCTGACTACGGAAAGAAACAAAGACAAGCATCTCATCCATAGCTGCCTTAACTGCCCTCACCCACCCCAACGAACAAACTTTCATTCCTGTTAGGAGCTCCCAGGATGTATGTAAACTGTTACTAACCTGTGTCGGTTAGTCTGTGGTATATGTTGGACAAATGTTTGAAAATTTCCAAACATTTGCAATAAATTAGAAATCTAACCAATAAGATGATTGCAAACTCACAGTCCCTGCCAGGAAAGATTGCTGAACAAATTCGCATTTTCTTGAACTAATGATGTCTGTAGGAAAGCAATTAGAGGCTGTAAGGGGGCTGCTGCTGAAGTCTGGAGGGGGTTAGGAAGCCCCTTTGAATCCCGGGGGGCCTAAATCAGCCCAGACACATTGTATACGTTTTCCTTTCAGGAAGAATATCAGGAGCCTATGAGGGTTTCATTGCTTTGAACCCCCACCCCCCAGGAACTCCCCTGTGTTTTCTAAAAACTTGGGAAACTCTTTTGCATGATTTTCTCCGGCTAATTAAAACGGCTCCTAAGATAAAAGCTGATAGTGATAGATGATTTCTGGAGATTCCTTTCATGCGCTTTTCCTCAAACACCTGGGCAATTACAACCCATGTTCAATTCCTCATAGTCCAAAGCAGTACTGGTTTACATCCCCACCTTACATTAGCTAGGACAGAGGCCATCCGTTTACACACCTTGGCCATCCTGCCTGTCCGGGGACACCTCCACACCCTAGCAAGTTGCCCGAGGGTCAGAAGGAGCTACAGGGGCCGAGTGAGGAGCCCTGGCCAGGGTCCTCAGCAATTTCACTACACAAGAGCACTTGGAGGGTCTCCGGCCAGCGTCTTTAACGAGAGTGTGCCCTGATAAAGAGGAGCTATCAGTTTTTCCTTCTCTTTTGCTGTTTAACCGTCCCTAAGTGTAACTGGGGGTGAAGGGGAATAGAAGGGCCAGGGAATCTCGGATTTGATAGTGGTTGTGGCATCAGCCTGGGAGGCCCCGGCCAGAGGAGCCAGGCGGCGGGGTCCCCTTGGGCCGCCTCAGCAGGCTAGGAGAAGGAACCAGGAGGGAGGCTCACCTTCTTCCGTGGCCGGCAGGAGGTGGTCGCTGCTAGCGAGGGGGATACAGAGGTCATTGTCCTGGGGGAAACGATCGCACTCGAGCATGTCGGGCCAGGGGAAGCCGAAGGCGGACATGACCGGGGCGCAGCGGTCCTTCACTTGTACGCAGAGCGAGTGGCAGGGCTGGATGGTCTCGTCCAGGTCATCGAGGCAGACGGGGGCGAAGAGCGAGCACAGGAACTTCTTGGTGTCCGGGTGGCACTGCTTCATCACGAGCGGAATCCACGCGCCCGCCTGCTCCAGCACCTCCTTCATGGTCTCGTGGCCCAGCAGGTTGGGCAAGCGCATGTTCTGGTACTCGATGCCGTGGCACAGCTGCAGGTTAGCTGGGATGGGCTTGCAGTTGCTGCGCTTGTACGAGAAATCGGGCTGGCCGAAGAGAAAGAGCCCGCGCGCCGAGCCCAGGCAGCCGTGCAGGGCGAGCAGGAGCAGC